TTTTTTTCACCAATGATGCTTTAAGGATGTACTTTTTGGCCTTGTGATGAGCCCACTATAGACCCTTATTGGATTCCATGTGTGCTGGTTCCTATTATTCTCCCATTCTTGAAAAGGATTCGTCCTCGAATCCAAATCTTCAATGAAAGACAAAGTAGCAAGCTCACTTTCTGTTTTATCACGCTCATGGAACTTTTTCTTGGGGTGCTTGACACGAGTCGCTCCAATCATCATCCTACAATCAACAAGTAAGGCAATTAAGTCTAATGACACATCATGGAATTTAAACATTCTGGATAGTAATAGATCAGCAAAACGAGACATATTAAATTTAGCCATCTTTTTTGAATTTTCAACAAGCACAACATCTTTCCTTCTAGAGCTTAAGGCTAAACCAAACACAAAATCCATGGAAATATCAAGTAATGTTTTAGATGTATTGTGGTGGTAAGTAGCACAATTATGAACATAAGATTCTACATCTTTTTTCTTCTTTGGCCAATGAAAATATCCATGCAAAACATCATCACTCTTTGGAAAACCAAAGTGTCCTTTATGTGAATCAACAATTAAACCATTGCCCAAAACAAAGCAAAAAGTGCAAATCCCATTGACTTTGAACCAAAACCCCTTGAGCAAGTAGTGTTTCACATAAGAAGTTTTCAAATGTGCCTTATAACTTTCCAGTGATTCCTTATCTCTATCAAACAAAGTTTTAGTAAAATCAAAATTAAGGAATCTTGGATGTATGGAGGCAAACAAATTTCTAACACATCTAGCAAGTACGTCATCAATAGAAACATGGCAAAGAAATCTAGAGAATAATAATGCATGCTTTTGGAATAAAAGTGAGTATAAAGTGACTCCCCTTCCTTTCTCTTGCATACTATCCTTTTTAGTTACCAAGAGATGTTGCACTTTGACACCTTGGGCTGGTCCTTTCCACTGTATCACTGATTGTGGTCCCTTTGTTTGGCTAAAAACTGAGTTAGAGGATTGGAGTGGTGATTGCAATTCCAAACATGGAGGTTCCACTTTTCTCTCTATGATTTCTTCATTCTTTGAGGCTGGTTTGAGAGCTTGCATCAATGTCAATTGAATTTCTTCTACTTGTTTAGGATACAAACGAGACAAGAAATATGTAACTCCATTCATGTGAAACACATAAGTGTTCCTCATTCCAACAGAACTTATTTTTCTGTCAAATTGCAATGGTCTACCTAACAAGATATGAGCAGCCTGCATTGGGATATTATCACACAAGATTTCATCAGAGTAACTGTTAATAGATAAAGGAATAAGATCCTGTCTGGTTACTCTAGCTTCTCCTACATCAGTTAACCATTGCAAACAATAAGGATTTGGATGATTAAGCAAAGGTAACTGGGGAAATTTAACCATAGCTGCACTAGCCACATTTGTGCAACTTCTAGAATCTATTACCATAGCACAAGCATTCTCTTTAATTGACCCTTTAGTACAAAATATATTTTCTCTTTGAGACTCATCTTCTTTTAAAGGGTGAACATTCAAAACCTCCTTAACAACAACAGTATGACTAGACTCACTAGCAACATATTTAGAATCAGAATCTAAAGGTATGAATGGTTCTCCCTCAACATGTTCATTGAGAGTTTCAAAATGGTCACATACCTCATCCTTAGACTTATATTCAAGACAAGAAGCAAAATTTTCAGATTGTTTTGTTATCTTAACTACCCTTTTGTTAGGGCAATCACGAGCAATGTGGCCTCTCCCATTACATCTATAACAAATCAATTCTCTATCATGTTGAGGCTTCACTGCCTCACTTACCTTTTCCTTACCTTTTTCTTGTGAATCATCTCTTGGAGGGGGATGTTCATCACGCCTTTTAGGGGTGGAACTTGTGTTGTTCCATCTTGATGCACCATTGTTGGACTTGTACAATTTCCTCTCTTTGATTTTTGCCTCAGATTCACGTGCAGCATACAAGGCATCATAAAGGGTGTCATATCTCTGAATACTCATTCCACATCGAATTTCTAAGTTCAATCCATGTACGAAACGAGCAACAGTTTTTGTCTCTTCTTCATGTATGTCTCCCTGTTTAAGCAAAATATTTGTAGTTTGGTAGTACTCATCAACTGACTTCTTTCCTTGCACCGTTCCCTGCAATTTTCTTTCAAGATCATAGAAAAAAGATTTAGGACGAAAAGTTAGGCGCATATCTTCCCTCACTTGAACCCAAGATTCATAGGGAATAAAATTAGCAACTCTTTCTATATTTCTTTTTCGCCACCAAGATAATGCATACCCCTTAAAAGATGTAGCAACTATCCTAATTTTTGTAAGATCAGAATATTGCTTTAAATAAAAAAGAGTTTCAACAGCATTCTCCCATTCTATGTATTCGGTGGGTCATTTCTCACCGGTGAAGTTAGGAATTTCAAGTTTAATGTTTCCTAACTCGGTATTACGCTGTTGGATTCTTTGACATCTAGGATCCACTCTTCCTACTGGTGGCAGGTGTCGCTCATCATTGTGTGGTGGTTGCACTTGCTGTGAGCGTTGCTCCAAATTATTCATTCGTTTGAGTAACCTGTCTATTTTTTGTTCTAATTTCTGTGGCAAGTTTGGAACTTGTTGAGCCATCTGTAAACGAAAAAAAATATCTAAAAACAAGACGATATGTGAGTAGTCACGTTAGTGAAACCAAAAATTTGGCTCGCTCCCTCACTATTCTCAGCTCGCAAGTAAGAGGTAGATTATATGGCTTTTGGGGGTGCACTACACACTCTTACAAACACACACTCCACTCGTGTATCGCTCAAGGTGGCAGATACTCTCACAAGCCTTTTTCCAAAAAGGAAAATTCTAGTCCGGTACTCCAGTTGATATGGATTCAACCTCAAAGTTCAAGAAAAACGTACCTTGGAAGTCTTCACAAGCCTTTGAGAGTAAGGGTGTATCGCGAGGTAGGTAATAAAATTGAGAGCAAGAAGCAAAGAAAAAGGACAATACAAGCAAAGAAACTAAACAAGATTTGAAAGAAAAAGGAAACCAAAGAAGGAAGTATGGCAGAAAGATATACAAGACCAAATCAACAGATAGAGACAAGTAGAATATAAAATGGGTTCACGTGTACCACAACCAATTAGGAATCATTAAAAAACTCCTTCCAACCTTATACTTTTCCCCTTCCTTGTCCCTCCAAAATTCTCCTACCAGCCAAATTCTTTCCCCAACCTTATTCTTCTTCTTTATAGCTTTCTCTTTTTTTTTTTTGCTTTTTTTTTTCAACTTTCTTGATTTTTTTTTTTTTGATTTTTTTGATAAATAACCTCCAAATAATTACTGTAAATATCACCAAAAATTTCAGACCAAGTGGTTCCACACAAGCACTTCAAAACAGAATCAAGAATTTCAAGAATCACCCAGAAAAACAGAAACGCTGCCCTTACTTCGAAGATCAATATCTCAATGACCGTAAGGAATTAGCAAGTGTATAATATATCAATAGAACGCCCCAGAAGAGATCTACATCATATCCAAATTTCAGATAAAACTAACTAGTGGATCTCGAGATATAGGTAATTCTTTGAAACTGGTCACAGCTCGCGGAAATCTGGACAGGGTGTGATTGAGATGTGATTGCGCGTAAATGCGCTTTGGATATAGGTAAGGGTAAGATGGGGTTGTTTTCTTGACAGAATATGTGGTAATATGGTGCTTAGGAGGTGTGAGGTCTCGTTGATATTGGACGGGAAAAAGGGAAAACACTTTCGGGATTGTTTTTCAAGAAAGTGGAGAACATGTATCAAGATTCAAGAACACAATCAAGAATGCAAAAGAAAATTTTTTTGGGGGTTTTTTTAATGAATAAGACACGAATAAATGTAGTATGTAAGATAAGAACGAGATAAACATAGGGAACCAAAGAAACCAAATTTCCAATGATAACGAGACAAACCTAGGCTCTGAATACCAAATTGATAAGAATCTAGTCCAAGGTTCAAATAAAGATGGAATATTGTCCCAAGATTACTCTCAATGCAAAGATAGAGATGGATCAAAATACCTTAAACCTCACGAGAAACCCTTTGTCTCGAATCCTCAAAGACTTGGAAGAATCCCATGTAGCTTCAAGTACCTCGATGTTGCATTCTTCAATCAACTAGAGTCGGATCTAGTTTCCTTCGATTCAAGAACGAGTCCACGGACCTAAATCTAAGGTTGAAGAAAGTAAGATTGAGTCGAGTCCACGAATCAATTTGCTAGTCGAGTCCACGACTAACCACTAATTGAGTCCACAATTAGCCATAAGGTTTCTTACACAAGTGTAAAGAAAAACTTAAGAATTTTATTGAATTAAAGCCTCCTCAAAACTGATATGGATGTGCCCTATTTATAGGTATAGGGCAGCATTGTAATCTAAATACAATGGGAAAAAGAGTCCTAAACCTAATCTAGAAAACAAGTAAATAGAGTTTTATTTAGAAAAGGATTTAAGGAATCCTTTCTAAATACAACTAGTGTTTTCTGTTTAATTCTAAACAATTTAAAATAAATGATGACCACAAATAATAAAGCTGATTTGGGCCTCGGATCTTGTGATTGGCCCAATTTGTAATCTTAATGGATCTTCATTATGTTGGGCCGCATCAATGACCAAACACATTGTCAAGTATGGAAGATCTAAAACTCAAAGAGTATATTTCCACAAAAGTTAAGTGTTGATGTCTTTCAAAAATCGACGACACTCAAAGCACTTAGTATAATTTTGTCATGGAGTACTATGTGACTATCATAGGTGACAATGTTTAAAATAATTTTGGTCATGTACTTCTACTGGAGTACAACGAATTCATGTACCATTCGAAAGGTACCATCCAGGAAGTAAAACCCATCCAGAAAATTAAACATAGAGAAGTAAATTCTAAATTGTCAAATAATTCTGGATGACCCACAAGAATTAACTTCTCAGATCATGCATTCTATTCTATACATTAATGGATCACAATAATTTATTGATCGTACAATCCTTCAGGGATCAACTTAGGCTCTATGAATCTTTTTCGATCAAATATTCATAACCGATGGTTTAGACCAAAATATGTCAAATAAAAATTAGTGCTCTAAGTATTTACCTTCTGGGCAAAACTATATTGAAAATATGCACTATTGTTTTGTTTAAATACTCAACTTTGAGATATTCAAGATTCAAGACTCCTGCCATATAATTTTATGATAAAAATTAGCACCATCAATATGCATGAATTTGGACAAATAAATCATTTGACTTCCAAATCAGAATTAAGTTAATTTGACATTGGTCATATAAGTTATCCTAGTGCTATTATCATACAACAAGTGCTATGAATTCGCCTTCTGGGCAATGCTATGTTTAAAAATTCATGTTATAACCACTTGTTGATCAAGACAATCCTACAAGGGTTATCATATAATAAGTGTAGAAATTAATGGCTTTAATTTGCCATCCGAGCATGGCTCCCAATAAGATTTAAGAGAAATCTAAAAATATATGGCCTATAGCAAAGAATTGTTACCATCAGGAGCAAATCAATAAATGCTCTTTTGTGATGACTCACATCGCTGTAGAGCATGAGATAGCAATTTGTGACACAACAATAATTTGTCACTTGACAACAAGTGCACCGACCATACAATGTATGCGGTGGTCACATCAAGAAAGTGTCACAATATTATGTATTTTTTAATTTAATTAAGCTCTCTAATTCTATGCATGCGCATCAACTGGATGCAAAAACATATGGCATATCTCCCTCCGAAACAGTGTGATAATCATTCTCCTAGAGTTAATCATGTGATAAAGGCAGTCTTCAAGGATATATGATCACTTACACATAATAGCTAACTATCACATAACAATATATGCATGTACATCTCATAGAAGAATTAAATATAGGTACTTAGCTTATATGCGTAGCAAGGTCCATGAAGCACTATCCAAAAATTTCGTGCCCTTCAGTTGCAACTTCGATCTCTAGCTGCTACATGAACGGCAATGCTCAGGAAAAATATTTATGTTCACACATATAACCTGTAAATATTCTCATACATATATGTGCATGTGTATTTTTAAAAGGATTATAAAATAAAATACTTAGTAAAAAAACACGTGAATCTTGAATGCAAGAATTAACCTAGGGTTCTAATTAATTTTATTTCCATTATAAAGCTGAGCTAGTTCCAGTATTACTCCAGTTATAATAACGAACATAAAAACGAGAGTAATAAAGGAAAACGTGCACCAGTAAATGTTCACGCAGTTCGGAGCCTCACTCCTACGTCTGCGGGGCCACTCACATCAACCCAAATCCACTATGATAAAAGGAGTACAAGAGGAGAGTTTATTACACACTAAAGTATAACTACTCCAGAGCCTACTCCAGTGAATCCGATGTGCAGGTGATCTTCATTGCTTCATGATCTTGTGAAGAACCCTTCTCCACACTTAGTAATACAGAATATATTCATAGCAAGTAGATGAAGAAACTCGGTACAAAAGCTTGTCAAAGTGTGTAATCAAAAGGCTAACCAAAGTAGCATTTTATATAGGTAATGAGAGGTTTTCTTCGATCCACAAATCATGCATTCTTTCCTTCCTTGATTTCGGCTGCTCCAATCGATTTAGAACTCCTCCTAGATAGGTCTTGACTGATTAAAAGATTTGAAGAGGTTTTATAACTCCTGGACTACTTTCTTGTGTTGATCCTGTCAACTACTCCAGACGTTATGACTAACCCAGCATCTAATCCAGAACTACTTTGACAACTAATCCAAGCCAATATTAAGAGGTTTAATGAGCTACATTTATTACACTTACAATCTCCCCCTTTGGCTATTAGTTGACAAAACTAACTAAAAGATCTCAACGGCTTATAAAAAAAAAAAAAAAAAAAACAATAGCCAGATGAGAAAAAGATACAACTTTGACAAAAGTGGATTAGTCACTAGTCAGGAGTAGATAGCTACACACCCTTCTTAGACTTAACAATGATGTGCCAGAGAACTTAACCACATTTAAAGCATACAAGCACATAATAATTTTAAAAACACATAAATCACATAGGATGACAACTTGGCATTTAACATAGAGGCACTTATCACATAGACCATGCAAAAACTTATTAGATAACTACATATAACTAGAAGCAGATAGCACACCACATTTATTCACTGGCACATATTGTAAGTTCACAAAAAAACACTCCCCCTTACTACGTGCACTCCCCCTTTTTGGCAAGCTAATGGACAAAGAGCAGTATCAGAGTTGGGAGGAGGAGGAAGAGGTCTCGACGGCTTCAGCATCACCAACAGGAGCAGAAGGAGAGACACCTTCAAGAGAGGCGATGTGACGATTGGTGCGGAGCAGCTGAGCCTCGATAGTGGAGATGGAAGATTGAAGGGCAAGAGAAGCATCCTTCATGGTAGCAATCTGAGATGTGAGAAAGATAGCCTTCTGTCGAAGAACAGCCAGGGCCGATGTGGAGTCATTAGCCAAATTAGACGATAGAGAGCCCGAGACTGAAGTTGGTGGAGCAGCTGGAGTAGGAGCAGGTGGAGTTGATGTAAGAGTGGCCCGATTATCATAGTGTGATTTCTTGAAGAGGCGAGAGTCCATTGAGGTCTTGTGAGTGACATGACAGAGCTCTTCATTGGAATAAAGTTGTAGACCTTGCTGTTGTAAGATCCCCGTGATCAGACATGGAAAAGCGAGATGAATCTTCGCTTCCTTCTTCTTTGCAAAGCCCATAATGTGATGATAAATGAGATGGCTAAGATCTATGGGCAATGATGTCTAACTTTGTACAGAAGAGAAGCCATTTTCTTGGTGACCGTGTGCATAGAGACATTCGGAAGCCAGTTACTCGAAGCTAAGCGGAAGATGACGGGCACATTCGAAGGAAGGCCCTCTTTAGGCCAGACAACAACTTCGTTGTGGGTAAGATGAGAGGCAAGAAAATCACCAGCAGGTTCAAACAGATCAGCACAAGCATCACGCTAAAAAAAAAAGTATTGATAATAGCAGGACTGAAATCATACCAAACATCCCTTATGAAGACCTGATGATAATGGGAAGAAACCGGTAGAAGAGAATCAGACTATAAATTTACATAGAACTCCGGAATAAGCCAAGCAGAATAAACACCCACATTCTGTATGGTCTGAAGTAGGTTCTAGGCACGAAGGAGAGGAATGACATTGCAACTGTGAATAAGATACTCAATACTGAAGTTCTTCTCAACAAGAATGTCACGGCTAGAATGTAGCTTCCATAAGACTTCCAGAGCAGGGGAAAGAAGAATAGGTCTGAAAGACGTCTCCTTGGATATCCTAGAAGTCCTGGACTTAGACGAAGCAGCTAGCTTTGGAGCTGGAGTAGAAGCTGGATGAGGGGCTGGACTAGAGAAGCCAGACCTAGACCTGGTACGCAGAGCAAGACCAGACAACTTATGTTCTGTGTGTTTGCTTGGTCGAGTCTCAGACACAAATTCGACATCTTCTGACAAATTTAGTTTCCTCTTAACAGCCGGAGCAGAGACTGGAGGAACTGGAGGATCATCCGGATCAGTGACTTTGGCCTTCCCTTTCGCCTTAGATGATGCAAACGGCACAGCGATGACCAGTACAGACTTTTCAATTCGAGCAGAGTTAGGCATATTGGCGATAATATCAGACATAATCGCTGCTTGAATAGACGGATCCTCAGGTTCAGAAACAATTTCATGTATGGATACCCCAACATCCCCTGGAGCATAGCCTGGAGCAGAGGTGCGATCAAGCGAAGAGTGATGCTCAGGCATTGTGGGGATGGCCTCTTCTGAGCGATGTGGCAGAGAACCTGTGAAAACAATCATAGACAGAGGCACAAGAGACAATCCAGCAGAGGGATCCTAATAACATAGATGTATAGACACAGCAACAACACAACATCAACAAAACAAAAAATAGAAATAGAAGCAAATTAGATTCAAAAGAAAGGTGCACACTTACACAAAAACAACAAGTAATTACCTCTAAAGAGGGTAAAAGAAGTCAAACCGTAGACTGAGCTCGTAACTTTCGTGCCCGAAGCTCTGCTTAGAGACCTCCTTCATCGAAAACTTAATTAAGAGGCCAGGGTTCATCCTTGATGCCCGAACCTTTTGCAAAGATTGCCTTTGAGTCTCGCACGGATAATTCTTCCATCAGTGCTGGATGTCGAAGGAGAGTGGCAAGAACACGCCTAGTGGAGAGATCAGAGATTGGTGTCGTGCCTCGAAGAATTTGGCGATAGAGATCCAATCGCTCATCCTCAGTCAGGTAAAACAGGAAGGGATTAAGATCGGAGTGACCTGCCATGTGAGGATGTTCGAAAACAAGAGAGGATTTTGTGGTAGATTTTGTCTAGATTTAGGATTGAGGAGAAGAGTTTGAGAAGAGTTAAAAAGAAAGAGAGAGATAATTTAGGGATTTAGGATCCGAAATTTGGGGAAGAGCTGATGGTGTCTAACATCGGCGCACAGGCCAAAGCATAACAAAGTTCAAGGGGTCTAATCTAACAGTCTCTAGACCGCGCTCTCGTCTACTCAGCACCTGAAAGAAACACATAAAATATGGGACGACGCCCGGTCAGCGAATAATGCTGGTAACCCACCAATACATGTGAAATATCATATGTAAATAGTTTATATATACAAAATCATTTGCGAAACGGGATATAGTATATATATATATATATATATATATATATATATATATATATATATATATATATATATATATATATATATATATATATATCAATCAAAGCCAAGATAGAAGTTAAACACGAGACTCTTTGCACTCACAATAAAGACAAGGGAACACATCCCAAAACAACAAGAAGTAATAACGACTCACAAGAACGGCTCAAGGCATAATCTACCATCACACAGTAGATTAACACCCGACATGCATAACACAAGAGAATAAGGACACAACCATTGGCAACACATTGCCTTTG